ATAGGTATTTCTTACGAAAAAAACAACAAAAAAGGAAAATCCGGACATTTGGCATCATGGGGCCAAACTCCCACAAGGCCGCAGTGACCTGAGAAGTGACTGCGCTTCAGAGGGGCACATGGGGCACCACTTTCCTGCTCCCCGATGCTACCTGCCTGGCCCTGGGGCATTGGGGTCTGAGCCTCCTTGGACCGTGTCTGTCCTGTTCAATGTTGCAGCCCGGCGGCCCAGCTCAAGGCCCGCCACAGACACTACTGGGGGACCTGAGACTTTAGGCCTGGTCCTCCCAGGCCATGGGACCCTGGGCAGGTCCTTCCCCTCCGTGGACCTGTTTCTGCATCTCTGAAATGGGGTAAGGCATGAGATGCTCTCCTGGGCCCCTTTTTGTGAGTTCTGGGGCATTGGCAGGAGGTGGGCAGGAGGCTTGAGTCCAGCAGTGACGCAGTGACAAAGTGTGGGGTGGCCCCCTCAGCCATGCTCCTGTTCTCAATTCTGGCTGCACGTTAGAATCACCTGGATAATTTTCATTTAAATACCTGTGACCAGGCCCTAAGGCACACAGAAGAGGGTTGCCCTTTGTTTGTACGACAGACCTTCAGCATGACCTTCAAGGCCTTTATTCCTCCTAAACCCCTCTCATGTTCATTTATTCTTCCTCTTTATTCCCTTTCTCTCCTCCTTCTTCCCCACCAGGAGCCGTTCTATTATGTAAATGAGTCTCCTTTTTTTAATCTTGAAAAAGGGGTATTTCTGTTTTATGTCCCTAATTTGTAATCAACACATGTGGCCTGGTCTCATAGATCTTGATTTTACTTTCTCCATCACTGGTCTGGCTCTCCCTTCCCGTGGGCACACTTGGTCCCTGGCTCCTGAGGACTGCATGGGAGTCCTTGGCGTGTGGTCCCTGGGCCTCCCATTTGCTGCCCTAGAGTGGACACCCAGCCCACCTCCAGCTCCCACCCCACAAACACCGCTGCAGTGAACATCCTCGTGCGGGCGCCCACAGGGTCCCATGATTTCCTTGGGAAGGCACCCGGGAGCAGAATTATTGTGAGATGCGTATGTGCGATACCTCATTCGACTAAACTAGACTCGAATTTTTACCAGACTCGTAGTAGAATGACAGCTTGTTGAAATGTGCCTTCCTCCAATTACCAATGAGTTTGAGACCTTGTGCACACCCTGGTTGGTCTTTTGGGTTTTTTTCTTCTGTAAGTTGCCTGTTTATACCCTTTGCCCATTTTTCTATTTGGGTTGCTCTTTTTCTTGTTAAAACAAAGCAAAACAAAACAAAACGTGATCCGTGTTAGACTCTGCAAATATTTTTTCCCTTTCTGAAGCCTATTACATTTTCCCATGATGTCTTTCCTTGAACAAAACTTTACATTTTAACATAATTTTTTTTTGACCATTTGTTCCATTGGAGTTTTAAGAAGCCCTTCTCTACTGCTAGTCATCAAGTATTTTCCTCTGTCGCCTTTATAGTTTGTCTGTCAGAGGATGCTTAATCCATCAGAGAAACCTTGTCCAGGGGAACTCAGATAATGTTAAGGTCTCCTATCTAAACCGTCTAGTTAGTAGCCGCTGGTTAAAAGTGACAGTGGAGGATGTGAAATGTGACTAGGGCCACCAAGGGACTGAAATGCTTCATTTCATTAATTTAAAATTAAATAGCTACGTGTGATCGGTGGCTACTGTCCCGGGAAGCACAGATCTAGGGTTTTTTTGTTGTGCTGTTAGGTAGGGATCCCATTTTCTTTTTCTCCAGAAAATGAACCAATTTCCCCAACACTATTATTAAACAATCTATTTTTCCCTCATTGTTTTGTGGAGCCATCCTTATATATTAAGCTCAACCTGAGTACACTTGGGTCTGCCTCTGGGTTCTCCGGAGAAGCCCGGGGAGTCTAGTGAAGGTGGAGAGTCTCGCAGAGGTGGAGAATCACAATTCTACAGTAACAGACACACAGACACCCAGAATAAAGACTACGTTTCCCAACCTCCCTTGCTGCCGGGTGCAGCCACGTGATGAAGCTCTGGCCAATGAGGCAATGGCACAACCTCTGGGTCTTGTCCTTAAAGGGCCGTGCCGGCCTCTTTCCGTCCTCTTTTGTACCACCTATTTAGCCTGGGGTGTGGCTGGGAATCTGCATTTCCAGCAAGTTCCCAGGGATGCTGCTGGTCCGGGAACCACACTTGGAAAAAAACCACTGGTCTGACTTGTTTCACTCACTCATTTTTGGTGTCTGTAAACACTCGTCTGACCTGCGGGCTAATACATGCCCTCCTGGGCCTTGGCAGTTTAGAGTATAGCGCCCCCTGCTGCCGCTGAGGCAACACTCACTACTTTGTGTGGGACCACGTCTCGTCTGGTCCGTACCACCTGGACAAAGCCAGGCCCCAGGGCCACATCGCCGCTGGGGCAGGTGTCTGCTCTTGCTACGCCACACTTGCCCTTCTGAGTGCTCCCTTGTCCCGCCGATGCCCGGCACGGACTCCCTCACCGGCTGGGACCAGTGGGGTCCTGCCTGGAGGAGGCCCTGGAGCTGGGGTGGGTGGGAAGCCGGAAGACCGTTTGTGCTCCCGCTGCCGCAGAGGCACGGGCCGACTTCCGGGAACTTGGTGGTGCCCCTGAGCCCTTTTGTGCCTCTAGCCCTGTTGGCTGCCCCAGCCTTCCCGATACTTTTGGGACCAACCCCCTGTATTCAAACTCCTGTTTGAAACAACCGGAGGGATTTCACGGATGCCCTGGGAACCCCTTCCAGATGGGCAGGGGCAGCAGGAGGCGGCACGGGGGCTCCGGAAACGCTCTCAAGGCCACCCAAAATAAACTGGTTTTGGTGGCAGAAGGTGACAATCACGGCAGTCACCATGGGGCCGAATGTTGGCTCCTCCACCATGTAATGACCTGGCAAGGGACCTCCTGTCCCAGAGGGGTCCTTCACCCACAGCGGCAGGGAGGCGAGGCATTCGGGCTGGGAATGAGGTGGCTCTGTGCCACCCTGTTCTTCACCGTCCTTAGCTGGCTGTGGAACCATGGGCGTACCAGCCTCCGAAAATGAGTTGGGCTGCCATCGTTTCTCTATTTTCTGGAACAGTTTGTACAAGGTAGGAATTACGTGATACTTCAAAGTCTGGTAGAACTCATTTGTAAAAGCATTCAAGCCCAGAGCTTTTTCTTTGGGGTGTGTGTGGGGGGATGTTACTTTGGTCTTTTCTTGTTTTCTGTTTCTCCTTATACCCATTTTGGCAGAGTTCTTCCCAGAGATGTAACAACTCCACCCAGGCATCCAACACATTCAACATGGCAACAGCTGCTTCCTTGGGGATGTTTAAACCTCTGAGTCCCCATCTACAGGGTGCCCGTTCGTGGCCAGCCCCGGGCACAGACGTGGCACTCCAGCCTTGGGGAGCTCAGGGCCTGTGGAGAGGCGTACCCTGGGGTGGGAGCAGGAGGTACAGCCCAAGCCAGAATCTCCACACGTTTCCTGCCCACAAGCCAGGCTGAGGTCCCTGGGGCCAGTGGCAGTGGGGTTCACTGCTCACGCTGCAGCTCTCCCCACGGGGGCTACTGCCCCCCCCCCACCTCTTGGGTACTCGGGGAGACGCACACAGTCCAAGCTCACACCAACCTGGGGTGGTCAGTGGCCAGAACACAGCGCTGCCCAATGGATGCCAGCCAATTCCTTTCTCCCCTCGTGGAGACCCAGGCTCGGCCCCCCGGGGACCCTGATTTAGAGGGAGGGTTCTGGCCAGTGGAGTATCCCTAAAGCTGGCTGTTCCAGATCCATCCGCCTTAGCCGAGTCCTCAAAAGCCCACCTGCCCACAGAACGATTTTCTGAACGGCCCATTTACTAACATCAGCTCATCAAGGATCATTCCTATCCACCCAACACGCTCAAGACAACCTTTAAAACAAGATTAGGGCAAATCTCAGATTTGGCAAACTGGGCATCGCAGCACACGGACTCTGGTGGTGGCACAACCTCTGGGTCTTGTCCTTAAAGGGCCG